CCCAGAAGAGCTAATTACTAGGATCACTCTCCAAATTTATACCATTTGAAAATAAGTTACTGTGTTCAGGTGCAGACCACTAGTGACTAGGTTCAGGTGAGTGCTGGTAATTTTTGCAAGTGTGGGATGATATAAACTATACAATACTAGTATATTTTATGACGTGAAACAAATGAACTAAGACCGCAAATCTTGTTATGATCAAACTCTGAATGGAATTCCTGTTCATCAAAGCCTAGCGCGTATTGCATTGTTGTCAACAATTGACTTGTTTTCTTTCGGTACATACCACGATGTCGGATTATAAAGAACGCTGTCAATAAACGGGGACGGGCGTGTGACCTTGCAGGCGCAGAATTCGACGTCAGAACTAAAATAACATGTGCGACTTTCATCAATGTGTGGACAAAAACACACCAATACGCCCGAGAATGGTTGGAATTGGAATCTTGACAACATATGAAGTTTCGAGATGTATGAAAGTGCCACTCCCTATCGGAGAATCCGACACCGAGACAGACCCTATTAACGGAACTAGAATGGACTGTCTGAAAACAACTGAATCACGGTTTCCTGACTGCATACTGTCGTATCTCAGAACAATAGTGATCGTTTCTATGCGAGAAAATTTTCATCATAAATTGAGAAATCACACATGCTTTCAGAACACAATTACGTCATAGGTCAAATTCCCACCAGGGGGAAAGGTACGCCTGTAAAAAAGGTATGGACCCACTTGACTAAAATAAACAATTGTCAAAAATCCTACCTGCCATCTGATCTTCGTTGTAAGACTGCAAAGTAAAACACGAAAACTCGAGTTATCATCAAGAGAAAGATAAATTGTCGTTATATAATGAGAAGTTGTAGAAATTCGAGTAAGTATCTTACCATTTTGGGATCTAGTTTGTACTAACACTGTCACTGAGTAAAGCTTGGCGAACCGGAAATGACTGATTGCAAAGTGTTTGTGATATCATTCCTCCAGGCAGACCACGCCTTCCCAAACGCCCTCTGTCAGCATTTATCAGGCCTTTTGTTTTTTTCTTCGAACTGTCAAGAATAACGTTAATGGGAAGGAAGGACTGTGACGTTTAAAGGAGTAGGAGGAACAGTTACACGTGTCGGGGGATTCATATTAACACTTATATGGAGTGAGTGAGGTTTATCAAAGAACTGTGTGTGTGATTACTAAATAGTAGTGATAATAAAGTATAGACCAGGGGGGTCCTCAGTAACAGCAAATTGGCAGATTGTAGGTTTAACACCACAATTAGTCTTTACTTCCATGATATTATTATATACGTGTAATTGGAAATGGACATTCACAAATCTAAGGCTTGGTTATTCTGGAATATATATTCACATATAATAACGAAATTCGAATACAAGCATATTTCAAGTTGTTTTGAAAATTAACCAAATTATATTAATCAGTGCCGAAAACGAACCCACACATGAAGTTGTAATTGTGGTGAGAACCCCATATTTACAGCATTGCCATATTCTGATGTCTCATTACAATAGGTAAAGGATAAACCAATTAGATTTGGCACTGCAGTTTTAGCATAAATTTTAACTTGAATGTATGTATGGTTTTCATAGTAGTACCGACCATCGGGGAAAATATATTATATTTTAGGTTATCAATTTGGATGTCTAAAGTCGATGCATATTTTTAAACTGATATAGATTTGTTTTTATTTGAGTGGAAAAAGCAAATAAAAAAAAAACATCCACCATACTTGTTCTTAAGTAACAGAGGTGTCTAGGATAAAATATAGAAGTCATGTTATGTGTGCTTCGCTTCTAATACAGTACATGTGTAACTATATCTCACTGTGGGTCAATAGCTCAAACTCTATCCAATTTACAATATTTGCGACTTTTTATGTATTTAAGTATTTTTTTTAAATACACCCCCCCAAAGTAAAAATATCATAGAAACAAATCAACAAAGGACAAAAAGGACAAGTTGAGAATGGTCCACAGCTGGAAACATATCATAACAGTCACAAGTCAGAAATAAACACATCACAAGTCAGAAATAAAC